TTTACAAATATTTTATTATAATGTATACGTTTTATAATAGTAACCTAAATTGGTAAAAAAGTATAATTTGTTTTCCGTGACGAATATATCACATTGATACATTCAAAATAATTTTTACAATAATTATATTAAAATTATTAAAAAAATTCAGTACTAAATTTCATAGAATCGTTAAAAAGTTACATTTAACAGTCCCTCGAATGTAATATATGGTTCCCATCATGATTGCATAAAATATGTAATATTGGCCCGTTCGGTTTTATTGTGGTCAGATAGATTTATACATTTTTCGATCGACTCAGCGTGTAATGTGAATCCCATAAATATATTTTTTATTATTCTAGTGAATTAGGATCATTGGACCACTCCCACCTCTCCCATTCAGTCCTGTATACTTTAACACTTCCCCCCTCCCCACACCATATTACACATTGTATGTATAATATTCGTTTGTTCTAAATAAAAAATAAATAAAAAAAAAAGCATTCTACAACAATTACGTATGCTTTAAACGTTTCATTTCACATTTAATCTGTTATATCGACACACGAATTTCGAATATGCTTAACGTGAATATTTTAATTCAGTAAACACTTCGAATTCCCTGATGAAATGTTTATTTTACGTTCTGCTATTTGATGTAATATGTTTCGATAAATTATTCTAACCAGATACCTTTACTATACAGCCACAGATTGTATAAAACCATACATGGTGTACCTACTATTCCGGCCAGCGATTTTTCAAAAATGTTAACAAATCAAAACCTATTTCAAATCAGTATCGCCACTAATAGAAAAAAAAACCGTTTTCATTATTAATGATTGATTGTCAACTATGCATCACTGACATATTTTAGCACTCGCGCCAAGTGTCTAACCATTGTCATAACTCTTATTGTTGGATACAATAGTTATGGTGATGGTATGGTACAATAATTTATTCTTCATATTATGTGATCCTAATGCGTTGAGGTAGGTTCGAGTTATCAGTAAATGCAGAAGTGCACCATCAGGTCTTGTTCAATAATCTGAGCTGTACGTCCTCCAACAACATTTCTTAATCATCAAATGGCGTTGACAAAATAATAATGAAAAATAAAATGTCGAAGTAAGTACAGTTTGCAATTATTTTTTTTAGACACCTACCCATGTAATGGTGGCTTCTGGTCGGCGATAAAAGTTTTTCAGATTTGTATTATACCTACACAAAGATTATAATACAGCCAAACTACCTATAATTGCCGGAGCAATAATAAATCGATTCAATTTCGTTGTGTTCATGTCAGATCGCCATTTTAAATATTGTTGCTCCATCGATTCTGAAACGTAGGTATGTATGTACCTACTTCTGTTTCTCAAGACGATTTATAACTGCGCGAGACATGCAGGGAATTCGTTTTCTTATTATACTATTGTTTTTCCGTGTGCAATATTAATACACCTATATATAATAATATTATGTCGACCATCCGTCTGGACCTTACTATCTCATATTATGTGTATCTTACAGTATTATATACGTATATAATATTACCTGTACGGACGGTCGGCAGGTAAGACAGTCCCTCGTCTGCTTCAGTACACTTTCAACAACGGTTCGGTGCTTGACTATTATTCCTATTCCTCGTTTTTACCGTAGTTTCTGAGAGGTCGTCAAATTTATTGTTAAAGTAAAATAAATCCAACGTTCAAGACATTATTTATTTTTATTTTTAAATTGAAGCGCTGAGAATATTAGAAAAATATTTTGAATCTACATCAGTTTAAATGAATGTTATCATAATGTATGCATATATGTTTGAGTGAAATTCCCCAGTAAAAATGTAATTTAATTTTTTAAAATTACATTTTTAGTGATATAATATAATAGTTTAAAAATAATAATATTTTAATTCGTTTTCACTCAGATTCATAGCAGATCGACAAAGCTATGTTATAATGGCAGTGGTGTATCTAGAATTTTTTTCTTGGGGTTGATACGACCTAAACTACTTTGCACATCGGGAGAGATGGCTGTAGATCTCCACTGGATATTTGTCTATTTGGCTCCTCCACTTGTTATCTTAAATTTCCGTAAAGCTCACTTTCATAGGCCAAGGTTTTACTTAAAACTATAACAACATATGAAGGCAAAACTAGACAATTTTATTAGGGCAAGCTGAAGTATGATAAATATAAAAACGAATTCTAATTACAAAATAAGTTTTTCGTTTAAATTGTATTAAGTTAATATGTCATCCAGTCAGTATTAGGTCAAGCTGTGGCAACATTTATAATAATATACATTTACTTGCATAATAAGTAAGATTCAAAAAATCTATAAATAAAGAACTCTGGAGAACTCTGGGGTGAATGATATATCAGCCCCCCCCCCACTACGATAATACGTCACTGAATAACAGGTACGTTGTGATTATTTTGAATACCCGTTATTTCAAAATGATTGAGTTTTGTAGAAATGTTATTTTTAAAGTTATTTATTAGTGTGAAATATAGTATTTGACATAATATATTTATTAGATACTGAATTGAGTTCTTTTAGAGAAAATTGCTGAAATTACCTAAAAAATGTGAAAAACCTATACAGAATGTCGACTTATGATTTTGTATGGCATTTTATTTTAAGGTCTAACATATTTTGTAGATCGATGAAAATAATTTTTGAGTGCATAATTCATTATCATCAATAATTCAATTTATTATTGGTTACATTTTTTGTCATATACGTATTCAATATTTTATTACAATGTGTGAGTCTTACTAATTTTGCTAATATCTTATTTATATTTTGATGTAACATTTAGGTTTAGCCGTTTGGGTATTTATCATTTGGGGACCGACGTTGAAATATTTTCACAAAGCTTATTGCAAACCATCATCTCGTTGTTCAAAGTCTTGGAAAACGTTTGTAGCAATTTGTTTCGTTTTGAACACTCAAAATAATGAAATCTAATGACATAATATTTTAAACACTGTGTAACACGAAGTTTAGCTCTTGTTCGAGCCGAACGCTTCATCATCGCTTTCGAACTTATAAATACACCACAGAATATCATTATCTATTTTTTTTTTTTCATCAATGCGAAAATTCAATAGTGATCATCAATCTCACTGTCCTGTCCTCTATTTCATCGTTAACTTTCACGACTCTGTTTGCTTCCGTTTGCAGCTCGCTCGGGTCATTTTACTACTGTTGTACTTTGTTCTAACGACTCGCGAATATAATATGTATATAATAATGATGATGTTTAGTGTCCAATAGATCGTGTACTCGAAACTAATGCGATTCGAACTCGATAGGAAAATAAGCGATATTTAATGAACCGAATGTGCGCGCACAGTGTATATTATGTGATATCGATGACTGAGTGCAACAGTAATAATTCTCGAGACGTTCGGTCGATTAAATTGTCTGCTTTTAAATCGGCGCATATCGTAAATAATTGTAATGCTCGCACACGTGGACGTCACAAACAGAACAAGCTTAATGACGTGTCTTATGACAATAATATATATACATATATATATATATATCATATAATGTCTGGAGTTGCAATAAACGCAACGTCTGGCAGTCGTTAAGCCACCGCCGCCGCCACATATCCGCGAGTTTCACGCACACTGTACAATGCATTATTATTATTATTATACAGACTACTGGGTTGGGTAGAAGTCCGGGGAAAAAATCTTAATAATATATGATATTCGTACTCTCAGTTGTAATAAAATATTACAATAAGGAATAATACAATGTTAAATCGACAAAAACACGTATCGAATGTCCCCAGCTTGAGCATATTTTGATTGAGAGTCGTAGTCTGCTTGCGAATAGGATAGAATAATGGACAAAATACAATGACGAAGTAAGCACCGAGGTATAGATGAGTATTAATCGAAACTATTTCGACTTGAATCACTGCGTAATTACTGCTGTGAGGGATCATCAAATTTATGTCTGAGAAAAATAAATCCAATGCTTGAGATATGATTTCATGAATATAAGAAAAATATATCGAATCTACGAGTATGTCTGTCTGCAACCAATGAATGTTAAAATAAATACTGAAATAAAATTCCTAAGAGGAAATTTCATTTCATTTTTATTTAAGAACTACGATACAATATAGGCAAGTTGTGATTATTTTAAACACTCATTATATTATTTCAAAATGTGTTCAGGAATGTTATTTTTGAAGATATTTGTAAGTATAAAATATATAGTAGCGGCTGCAAGTGAGTCGTAGCACTCGCAGTTTGTGTGCGAAAAGTATAATGTATAAAATATAATGACGAATTAAACATCGAGGCGAATGACTTCACAGAGGCAGATAAGTTTTAATCAAAACTATATTGACTTGAATTGGTTAAGTTGAGATCGTTTGTAGCTATCGTCAAGTTTCGGGGTATTTACTAGTAAACAATAATTAATAATATATTATGATGTATTTAACTCGTTTAAGGTTGATACGGCCACAAATATTGATTCAAATCGGTTAGTAAATAGTAAGTCAGTTTTTTTATTTTAATAACTTAGTGATCGAGCAACTTTCAATCGCAGTTTAAACTTATAAATCGTTTTGTTGAACGACGGTCTTATTCGATGCACACGACCGCAGTATGTAGATGGCTGTTATCAAAACATCGATCTCAGTGGCTTTATTAGATAATTTTATATTTGAACGGTAATTATTATTAAAGTGACACTGGTTTTCAAGTTAAAAAGCGTTACCCATATTTTTGTCTATGTGCATCGAAAACGGGTCTCAAAATTATGATATTATTCGACACGAAGACTAATGTTATTTATTAATTATTATATTATGTGTTGTACTGCCGCCATTCCAGGACCGCTGAAGATGTGTCGAGATGAGAGGAGTCATGATGTGAGCAGGGTTGTTTGGTTGATGAGGGGAAGTGCTTATATTTACATATATATCATGTTTGTGTACGATAATATGATATTAATATTATGACGTGCACATAGATCGTGACTCCTACCTGTACGTGATGAATGCGAATATGAGTCCGACCAAGGACACGCTGCTACCGAGGACGACGATCAAGGAGAGGACACTCTCCTGGCTCGCCACCGTCCATCCGTTGCCCGTCAGGTTGCCCATGACGGGCACCCTTCTTGGGTAAATGCTCTCCATTTCGGAAACCCGTCTAAAATACGCGTGTATGCTGAGTGTTTATTGTAACTCTGGAAAGTGTAATGCGCATGCGTTGGTATTTTAATGATAGTTAATGAATAATGATCGTAATAAGTCGCAATGATTGTTGTTAATTATTGTCGACGAGAAGAAATCGCGAGAATAAAATAATAATAATTATTGCATCAAGACGACATATCGTTCGAATCGCGACCGGTCGTCGTGGCCGCGTCGTGCGACTAAACCCATCGGGTTTCAACGCTACCGCCGCCGCCGACGGCGTTTCGGCGCGCTCTCTGTGCGCACTCATATTATTTATATTATTATTATATTGTCTTTTATATTATTGCACTTACGCCTATTTCTATATATATATATATATATATATGTTTAATTAAGAGTGCTCAGATTTTTAGCAAACTGAAACAAAATGCACAACCTTTATAGATCAATGAAATCGTCAGAAAAATAAACGACGTTTCGGGCGAGTTCTCTGTGCCATATTATTACTATTTTATTTTAAGCAACGCAATACGGACATGAGCCCAATTTACAATTAATATATATCTAGAACAATATACACGAGATAGTGTTAAAAGAAAGAATATCATCATAAATAAATAATTGGTTAATTATGTGAGATAGAAAATAGAAGATCTGAATTGACAATGGACATACAACGACTTAGTGGTTCATTTAAACCATAGTTAATAGAGGAGATTGGTAGAGTAAACGTATAGCACGGCGACGAGTAAATCGCGAAAGGACATTAAAAGGAATTAAGGAGAGTAGGTATAATAAGGTGAGTCAATCTGCCCATTTAACACGTGTGTAAGAAATTTAAGGTACGATCTGCTTTTACGATTATGTTGTCTTAAATTATTGTACTCACGCCTATATTACTGTATATTACGTATATCGTGTTTAATCGAGAGTGCTCAGATTGTTAGGATAAGACCAAACGGGAAAAAAGCTACAAAATCAATGAAACAGGTCGGAAAAATAAATCGTTTGACATACTGTATTAGTTGTGAGTTAATTGGGTATACAGTGTACTTAGTCCAACGACGAATATTTTACAATCGTTAACTTATTTCCGAGCTACTCTATCGCCAACCATCGTTAACACCACAATATTATAATAACAAATAAGTGGTATAATGTAGGTAATATCAAACTAAAATTATTGTGGACTTGATCAAGGTATCTGTAACCTAATAGTATGACCTATTGAACCAGAAAATTAAAATGTTCAATTACATTCGACTTACCTATAATTCATAATTCTATTTTCGAACACATTTCAATCTACCTGTCTCATTATGTCAATTGTTTTTGTTTTTCTTTGTGAAAATATAATAAGCGAAACGGTTAAAATTACTTTAAATCTATCATGACATAAAGAAAGTGTAGTTTCTCCCTTGTTTTCATTCTTTAAGTCGGCCATCCACCTTGAGGAAAAAACTAAAAAGTGATTACAAAACATTAATGAATTATGCTTAAAGTTATCACTGTTTTTAATTTTTTTTTAATTGTTCTCGGGACACCGGGACACTCGAACAAAAATAAAAAAAACGGTATACTACGACCTGTCGAGTCTCGGCGGGTCCGGAATATATTGTATTTTTCTATACATCGTGCGCACGGAACAGAATAAACACATAGCAATATTATATTTGTCCTCCTTCGAATCGTATCGTATAATAATAATAATAATAATAATAATAATAATAATAATAATCATAACATATGGGTATACGTTTCCGGCGGACTCGACGGCGACGACGACGTATTATTGCGTATAAACGAAAATATGTGATTATCGATCGGGTTTTGAAAACGACGTCCCTGCAAGGTATTGTCTTCTATTATTACCGTATAATATGATGGTATTGTAATTCACTGGCTAAACATTATTCTTGTTACTATTTTTGGTGTAGGTATTTTGATAAAAATATGTCGAAAACAACGCTTGCCGATACGCGTGCGTGACGTTCGTGCGCTAAATTTTTGAATTTTTTTTGTTCTACTTAAGGAGTGTCCAGTGGTTATTCAAACTTCTTTTTACCACCGCCAAAAGTGTGCACCTACATAATACGATAATATTAACTTGACCCGCTCGTTTGTGAAGCCGTCCGTCCTCTTGATTCCAAGGGATTACGAGGTAAAAAAAAAAACTTTGTTACGATCGCGGGGTTAAAAAACAATACGGCTGTCGAGAATAATGTAATCTAAAAAAACAAAAATATAATGCACAACGCGGCCGGGAAGGGTAGGACGCGCGTTCGAGCAAATAAAATACGTTTTAACTGTAATTCGTTTGGTAATATTTTATTATATTTCGTGCTACAATAATAATATCGCATGTGGCGGAAATTGGTTACAGCGACATTAATAATTGACGCATATATATATATATATATATATATATATAATAGGCATAGGCATAGAGTCATTACGAGTGATGACCAATGACATTTTTCCAAAAATCGATTCCATAAATTACACGTCACACGCAGGTAATCAAATTTATTCACGTCGAAAACCGTTTCCACCCGACTGACCGATGGAATAAAAATTTCATAATTTCGCGACCGAATCGGTTTTTGATTTAATTTATTATGCCCTTGGTCAGCGTATCGACTGCAGTCGATGTGCCTGTAAGCGCCTATTTTTATACATTTTAACTTGGTAATTTTCAAGCGGTTTGATTAAAGTTTGGTCCCAAATGAATATGTTTTGTATTCCTCGGATAACTGACATTGGAATTCATAAAATTTTTGAACATCACATCTAAAGCAGCCATTTTCGACGAAAACTTTATTTGATGTCCTATCGATTTATCGATATCGTCGACCATCGATGACCCTGGTGGTTGCATTCCGTCTATATAGTGATCGTCGTGATTTCGCCCCGGCCTGGTACCCATACCTAACACCTGTATAACTTAAAATTAGAACTACCTACTGTAGTACCACGGGACGATGGGAAATATATCCTCTTATTTTTTTATTTTTAATATTTTTCAAACATGACTGGTCTTTGGACTTTTTTCCACCCTTCAACCTTTTGAAAACGTACACAAGAAATACAACTGGACAGTCAAGGTTAAATGGAGGATAGATATTATGTTATTTATGTTGATTGAATTATTGTATGTTATATCCTCCACTCATACAAAATCCCATCGCACTCCACTGACTATAACTACCTACATTAAGCAATAATAATACATACTCGGGCATACTCGCCAGTTTTTGACTGCGTCTCAATTGTTAGTGATCTGCAAATTCCCAGGAATTTAATTTCAGACAATTTCGCGGAGTATTCCAAACGCTGCAGGGAAATTATTTTGCAAATCAATATTAAATTCAACTCGTAGCCAAGCATTATCCGAATGACAAATATTCGATTTTGTTATTTGAGAATAGGTATTGATATTGATCGATGATTTCAAAATATATAATATAGAAATCCAATTCAAGTTATACACTAGTCATCAATGCGAAGATAAGATTTTAAGTTAATGTGAAAAAAAATACAATTCCTCGGCATGTAAATACTGCTGTATTCAAATGAGTCGAGTTTCTTGTTCAAAGTTATATTCCAGAAGAGTAGGCCATATTTCCGAAACGTGCATATAGTTCCTGGAAATGGCCGTTTAGGAATATTCCTAGTAGCACATCAATAATAAACCATTCACAAATCGACAAAAATTATGCAGCTCAATACGAAATATGCAATGTTTAATACACACATGGGTGCATAGGGGGTGCCGGGGGGTGCTTAGCAACCCTTAGTCTTTAATGAGCACCCCTAGATCATTTTGAGTTAAGAATATTGTTTAAAGACGTGTCATTTCGCATTAATACTAATGAGTTTGTATTGGTAATGCACTAATGCCCAGGACGGCAGGACATATAGGTATATTTCCTGTTTAAATATACTTAGAATATTTTGATTGAATAAAACAAAAAAAAAAAAAAACAAAAATTATGAAAGTAGTGAAGATGAGATGCCCTGATGGCATCTTTTGTTCGTCGAAGAATGTAATAGGCGCTGTAATAATTGGTTACGATATTATATCGGCCAAAAAAGATTCTTTATTGCAAATCAGGTTTAACGTATAGTAATTTATAATTTTATTTGAAATTAATTCGTGCCTGGGGTGTATAACCGTATAGCCGCGTATTTTCCATGTCCCCCACGGGTCACACTACCCACAATGGGGTAAGACATTTTTGCACTCCTAAGCTTAAGACTGAATGTGCTCCCATCATGAATAATCAATGTACAATGTACATTGTACACAACGTACAATAATCATACTATGCGCATTGGGTACGTTTAATGTACGCGTTTTATGTGTAAACAGATGCGCCTTGTATAAAATACGAAGCATATTATAAGTGAGTAGACTGCAACTGCAAAGATTTTGAACTTTACTATTTCGGTTTGAAACCAAAGTGTCGTCGTGTACATCGTCCTAAGCAGGCATCTGTCCTCTAACAAGTGACTGAAGTAACATAACCCATACAGATGGAATTTCGGTATGTATGATGTATAGACTATGAAGGGACCCAGTGGGGAAATTGAAAAATACTTCAAACACCACATTTTCGGATTGTATTTTTTTTTCACTATATAAGACAGAGTTTTCATAACTTTAAAAAAACCTTTTTCTAACAATTTTTTATTTCATTTTATGTTGAGTAAATATTTTCTGATTGTTATTTCCACTTATAAGTTCACCTCCAATAATATTATTGTATAAAACAGATAGGTAAAAATTAAACGAATAATAGTAATAAGCTCCCTACAACAATGTGATCAACGTGGTCGGTGAGATTAGCATTTTATTTTTTCATCAGTTTTTATGACGATATTGTTAAATAAGTAATGCGGAATTGGTATTTATTCTACCAAAACTAATTTAAATATTATTATATTATGCAATATCAACATCATCTCCTCTTTAGAGTTTAATGAAATATTTTCGTGTAATAATTAGTATTTTTATTTGCTTTAATGTATAGTACGTACCTATTTAATTATATTTTAATACGTTGCAGTTGCCTACAAATATTATTATCCAAATAATATTATTTTATCGGCTAAAAAATTAATGTATTATGATATATCGTTGCACTCGGCTGCGTTCAGGGATCATTTTATGGTGGTGAAATAATGCTTTACAACTTTTTTTAAACAGTAACATATTATTTTCA